ATTAGCTGGGCATGGTGGTGCGTGCCTGTAATCCCAGCTACTCAGGAGGCTGAGGCAGGAGAATTGCCTGAACCCAGGAGGCGGAGGTTGCGGTGAGCCGAGATCGCGCCATTGCATTCCAGCCTGGGTAACAAGAGCGAAACTCCGTCTCAAGAAAAAGAATAACGAAGTTGAAAGGCTTTTACTTCCAAATTTCAAAATGTATTATAAAACGCTACAGTGGTCAAAAGTATGGTATGGCAGTAAATACCTACAGAGAGACCAGTGGAATGGAATACAGAGTGCAGAAGGAAACCCTCACACACATGGTCAAATGAGTTCAATAAGGATGCCAAGACTTTTCAATCAGGAAAGGGACAGTCTTTCAACAAATGGTGTGGGAAAACTAGATATCCACAGGCAAAAGAATGAACTTAAAGCCTTACCTTATATCAAGTTTAAAAAGAAAAACAAAACCCTCAATAATGAATCAAAGACCCAAGTGTAAGATCTAAAACTATACAACTCTTGTTGTTTTTGAGATGGAGTCTCACTCTGTCGCCCAGGCTGGAGTGCAGTGGCATGATCTCGGCTCACTGCAACCTCTGGCTCCCAGGTTCAAGCAACTCTCTGCCTCAGCCTGCCAAGTAGCTGGGATTACGGGCACCCACCACCACGCCTAGCTAATTTTTGTATTTTTGGTAGAGACAGGGCATCTTGGTGAGGCTGGTCTTGAACTCCTGACCTCGTGATTCACCCACTTCAGCCTCCCAACGTGCTGGGATTATAGGCATGAGCCACCATGCCAAGCCAACAACTCTTAAAACATAGGAGAGCTTCCTTTGGCAATGATTTCTTGGATAAGACACCAAAGGCCCAAACAACAGAAGGAAAAGTAGACAAATTGGATTGCATCAAAGGATACTATTAACAGAATGAAAAGGCAACCTGCAGAATGACAGGACAGAGATGCAAATTACATGTGACAGAGTTCCCATCTAGAATAGATAAAGCACTCTCACAATGCAACAACAAAAACCCAACTAACGCAGTTCAGAAATGTGCAGAGGATGCAAATAGACAGTCCTCCAAATAAGAGATGCAAATGGCCAATCATCACATAAAAAGATGCTCACCATCACTAATTATTAGAGTAACAAACCAAAACCACAAGGAGAGGCTGGGCATGCTGGCTCACGCCTGTAATCCCAGCACTCTGAAATGACGAGGGGGGTGGATCACTTGAGGTCAGGAGTTTCAGACCAGCCTGGCTGACATGGTAACACCATATCTCTGTTTAGAATAGAAAAATTAGCTGGATGTGGTGGCACATGCCTCAAGTCCCAGATGCTGAGGCGGCTGAGGCAGGAGAATTGCTTGAACCTGGGAGGTAGAGGTTGCAGTGAGCCAAGATTGCACCACTGCACTCTAGCCTGGGTGACAGAGCAAGACTCTATCTCAAAAAAAGAAGAAGAAGAAGGCCTACATGGAGAGGCCACCTCTCAGACTCATTAGGATGGCTGTAATCAATACAGAAAATAACAAGTGTCAGCGAGGATGCTGAGCAGTTGGAACCCTTGTGTACTCTTACTGGGAGTTTAAAATGGAGCTGCAGCTATGGAAAACAGTATGGCAATTCATCAAAAAGGTAAAAATAGGCCAGGTGCGGTGGCTCACACTTGTAATCCCAGAACTTTGCGAGGCCAGGGCAGGAGTTCGATACCAGCCAGGCCAACATGGTGAAACCCTATCTCTACTAAAAACACAAAAATTAGCCAGGTGTGGTGGTGCAGGCCTGTAATTCCAGCTACTCAGGAGGCTGAGGGATAAGAATCGCCTGAACCCAGGGGGCAGAGGTTGCAGTCAGCCAAGATTGCACCACTGCATTCCAGCCTGGGTGACAGAGCGAGACTCTGTCTCAAAACAAAGAATTACCATATAATCCAGTATTTCCAATTCTGGGTGTGTACTCCCTACAATTCAAAGTGCCTCACACATTTAAACACTGATGTTCATAGCAGCGTTGTTGAGAGCGAATTCTGACGTGTGTGAGAAATCATATTGTTTGCTGAGAAATCCTATTGAGAGTGGTGGCAAGGGAAACCTAGTCAGCACCCCAAAGCAGAAAACTGCCCCCAAAGCAGAAAACTGCTCAAAGCACTATAAAACAGTTACCAATATAAATATGTCTCATGCCAGATGAATTAGTTCTTGAACACAGGATATGTGACCCTTTCCTTTGTTCCCTTTCTAGTTTGTCTTTAACCTATAGTAAACACACACTAGTTAGTTAACCTTTAACCAATGAAAGAACACACAGCATCTGCTTGTAAAACTTGTCACTGTAAAGTCAACAATACGTAGGTCAGAGTTTGCTCTGGACTCTCAGCTGGAAATGCTGTGAGACACCTGAACCCACCTTTTGCTCTCTATCTCTGTTTCTTAATTCCTTCAGCACCGCGTGGGTTGGGGGTCTCCATGACTGAGCTGGTCTCGTTATTCATAGCAGCCAAAAATACAACAGCAACCCTAGTGCCCACTGACAGATAAACAAATGTGGTCTCTCCATACAGTCAAACATTTTTCAGCCTTAAAAAGGAAGGAAATTCTGACACATGCTAACACATGGATGAACCTTGAGGATGTTATGCAAAGTGAAATAAGCCAGTCACAAAAAGAGAAATACTGTATGATTCCACTTATGTGAAGGATCGAGAGTAATCAGATTCACAGAGACAGAAAGTAGAGTGGTGGCGGCCAGGAGCTGGGAGAGCCAGTAATGGCTTATTTATGGGGATAGAGTTTCCGTTTGGCAGGATTTAGTGAGTTCCAGAGTTTGGCTGCACAAAAATATGAATGTACTTACACTGAACCTTTAAGATGGTTATGGTAAATGTTTTGTATTTTACCACATTGAAAATTTTTGACACTGGAAATGTATATTTATTGAGCACCTCCGTGCTGGGCGTGATGATATGATTATGAACACCATAGTTATAAAAAACCCTCTTAGGGAGGTACAATTCTAAGTGTAAAAACTAGCACAGACAGACAATAATAGACACAGACCTACAGGACTCAGATAGTAGGCATATTAGACAGAGATTATAGATTTCAGAAGGAAACAAGAAATTATTAAAATTACTAATCACTAAATTTGTAGTTCAGTAATTAATTTAGCCAATTAGCTAATTTACTAATTACTGAAAATTACATACTGAAAAAGAACCAGAATGTAGTAGAAAGAGATGGCAGATAAGGCCACCTAAAGCCCATCTTTCAGACAGTGCTCTTAGCAGATGAGTGATAGAAGGGCACTTCCTGGCCAGATGTGGTGGCTCATGCCTGTAGTCCCAGCTACTCAGGAGGCTGAGGCAGGGAAATCACTTGAACCCAGCAGGCAGAGGTTGCACTGAGCTGATATTGCACCACTGCACTCCAGCCTGGGCAACAGAGCGAGACTCGATCTCAAAAAAATAAATAGTAGGGTGCAGTGG